AATTTGCCCTTTATAAAAAATTTTTATTCTGTGTCTTTTATGCATTTTCTTCTCTTTTAAATTCTCCTGTGGGCCTGATGGACCGGCCCGCGGACCGTATGTTTGACACCCCTGCTTTACATAATCATCTCGCGGGCCGGATTAAACTCCTTTGCGGGCCGGATCCAGCCCGCGGGCCGTATGTTTGACACCGCTGTAATAGAATCTGCTGCTGTTTACGGTGGCTTCACGCAGGGGCGTGAGAGGGGCGGCATCCGAACAAGGATTGATGTGCATTCAAGCAGCAAGTGAAGAGTCAAAAGTCTCCGAACTTGGATAGTCAACAGCACCCCTTTGCCCCCACCCCCACTGACAATCAGTTTCCAACAGGCAGCATCCCCACGAAGCAACATTGCTTCGCAGGTCACTGCTTTGTGCTTCACTTTGCTCTCAAGACAGCATCCGTTCAATGCGGGGCTACTACAAGTACGTGGGTGTGAGAGAGTAAATGGAGACGGAGCAGTGAATCAGATCAATAACATGTTGAACGTAAAAGTCACAGCAGGAATATTCAACAACGCAAAAACTTTCCCACACACCGCTTAGTTTCCACATCAGCCCAATCTCCTCCCCATTTCCAACCAACATGTCAAAACACATTCTTTCAAGTTGCTCTTGAACACAACCCGAACGAGATTAATCTCACACAGCAGACAAGACAGACACGTTATTGATATTCATAATAGCAACATAAGATGAATGAAAGGCATGTTTTCAATTTTTCAAAGAATCACTTTTGTTTCATTTTTTTTTTTTTAATTGTGATGATGACCTGACATCAGTAGGTAAGTAAATTTATCTATGAAAAAAAAACCAAAAAAACATCCCTCTCTGGCACTTTCAATTGAATTTTTAAGAAAACAACCAAACTTGAGGAAAAACAACCAGTCAGAATCAAAGGGCGTGACTGACAAGGTGTCAATAATTAAAAGGTTTTGGAGCCAAGTCAAAGTCCAGTCTCAAGTTGAATTGAAATGTTCTGGCCATTCATGCTTGAAAAGCCTCAAGTGTTGCTGAATTCAAGCAATTGTGCAAAAATGAAAAAAGTTGGGAAAGACTCAATGCCAATTACAGAAAACACTTCATTTCAATTTTTGCCTGAGGGTGGCTCAAAACCAATTCTAAGGTTTCGGGAGTCAGCAGTTTTCCTCCACAGGGCCAGGTATCTGATATTTTTTTTTCTCTTGATAAATCAAACCAACATTTTAGAACTGCTTGTTGTGTTTACTAGTGTTATGTGACATTTACATTTGTTTGAGGACCTTATGATCTTGAATATTAACCCTTTCACGGACAGTGGTTACTACAGCGGACAGTTTACAACGTCATGTTACAGGGTGCATGAAAGGGTTAAAATTTGGGAAACTGCAAAAAAGTACAAGTAGGAAGGGGGGCAAACACCTTTTCACGGCACCCCAAGTACACACTAGAAAATTATCGCCATCAGTATTGTGCTAGAGGCTAAACAATACATCTATTTAATGCACAGGTGTCAAACTCAAGGCCCGGGGGCCAAATCTGACCCGCCCCATAATTTTATGTGGCCCGCGAAAGCCAATCAAGCATGTCAACTTCCACGATGCTTCCTAAAATCTTTACCTAAAATTTAAAATGATCATATGTAATTAATGAGAGCTGTTGTCAACATTTTCTTGTAACCAAACCCCTGATTACAGTACCGTAACTTAAATAGTTAAAGGATTATTCTTGACTTCTTTACATGGTTTCACAGTCATAATGGCCCTCGAAGGGAGTTTGACACCCCTGATATAATGTATTGATGTGGCTGCCCCGCTACCGAACAAAATCAATAGGCACAAGATAGGTGCAAATCAAGGGTGGCCACACATTTTTATAAGTTATTGATGGATTGAAATTGAATGAACAATATTATTTTGGATTCCATGTCATCAATTCCCTTTTAGGGGTTTTTTTTGTATTTTTTTATCCAGGTTTGAATATTATTTTGAACCAACTTGTATTCATTTGTTGCTTGCCTCTGATCGGCACAGGAAATTATGTCATGCGCGACATCGATACATAACAATAGATCAATCGATCATGGAGGCGAGGAAGGACATTTTTAAGACGAAGCAATAGATTTGTTTCAGCCGAAACGTTTTGCTAGTCTCCAAGAAAGGCGGTTGTCTTGACAAGACGGTTGCCATGTCTCGCGTTTGCAACTGCCAAGTGATATGTAACGGAAAGGCAAATCTGTCGACATATCTGGCTCACCATGGCATCACAAGCAGAAACAAAACCGAATGAATGACTCAGCGGTGGCTAACCGTACACAGTAGTGGCACAAAGCAACAAAGGCGTTGCTGCCTTATCAATTCAAAAACTCGATTATAACTCTCCTCGTACTCAAAGAATTCCTTCTTATTGTGGAAGCTCGGAGAGAAGGATCTTGTTGCCACACCATGTAGACCAGTTGATGTTTTTGAAAGAGGATTTGTCAGCCTTTGGCAAAATTGTTTACTATTACATCATTCTTTATGCAGAACAATCACAGCACTTTAGTTTCAGCAGAAACGTTTTGGTAATCTGCGAGAAAGGTGGTCGTCTTAACAAGACAGTTGCCGTGTCTAGCCTTTGCAACTGCCAAATGATATGTAACGGGAAGGCAACTCGGTTGACATATCTGGGCTGTCACCATGGCATCACAACAAAACCGAATGAATGAATCAGCGGCGGCTACCGAACACGCTAGTGGCAGAGAGCAACAAAGGGGTTGCTGCCTTATCGATTCAAAAACTCGATTATAACTCTCCTCGTGCTCAAAGAATTCCTTTTTATTGTGGAAGCATGCAGAGAAGAGTCTTGTTGCCGCGCCATGTAGACCAGTTTATGTTTTTGAAAAAGGATTTGTCAGCTTTTGGCAAAATTGTTTACTATTACATAATTCTTTATGCAGAACAATCTCAGCAGTAGGTTAATTTAGTGTGAAAATATACAAGTTTAGTACTTGTGTATATATTTTTTTTTCTTCCACAAAAAGAGAATGTTGAACATAGCTCATTTATATAAAGCAATTCAATGCATTTATATTGATGCTTTTAATGCAAAACCAGAACCATCTCAGCCTGATTAATTAGGGCATAAAAAGAGAACTAGCTTGCTTTGTTTGACTTTGTTTCGTGCAATAATAAATTAAGAGAACAAGCTTGTGCTGATAGTAATTTTTTTTTTTTTTACATTTTGGAATCAGTAAATCTGAGTTGGTTTGAAAACAAAATCCAATTAAACAGCTTTAAATTATTTACAGAAATGCCCTTGTTACAGTATCGAAATCGCCTTCATTGTATTGTATAATTCCAAAAAAAAGCGAAATATTTCTTTGTGTCGAATTGTTAGGCCTGACATCGATATGTATTGTATCGGTCAAAAAACATATCGTTACAACCCGATGTTGTGATATTGCTAATTTGATCAAGTGGTCCCTAAGCATTGGGGAGTGGCAGGCCGCATAGATGAAAGAATAATAATTAAAAAAACAAAAAAACAAACAAAAAAAAGTATTCATCATACGAGGCTGAAACATATTTTGAAACTGGATTCTCCGCGTTACACCCGTCCGTCATTGATGGACTCTTGACCCATGTCAAAACACTAATTGTCACGATTGCGTAATGCTAATATTAGCGCACAAGGTATCTATTTGGGTTTTTTTTTTTTGCAACGGGGAAAAGGCCCAGTGATGAGACAAGGTGCACTTCACAGACAATACTGGAAGACCTATTTGAAATATGGATTTACGGTGCCAGTTGATTTCCCCGCAACAAGCCCACTCTGCACAATATGCAACAAGCGGCTCTTCATCTTGCATTATGGCGAAATATTTTCATGCACTTTATTTTTGTTCTGTTCTGTGTTGGTGTATTTCAGGAGCATGCTGCTAATCCCATACCATACTGTTTTCTTCCGCTTATCATCAGGGACCGGGTCACGGAGGCAGCAGTTTTAGCAGGGAAGCCCACACTTGCTAATATAATTTGCAAATTTTTATCATCGACGAAATACCCCGGTTTTGTGATTTTTGTATCATTCAGACTCTTTTATAATTGTTCTGTTGTGTCATCTGCATGCTTGAGCATTACCATAGTGACGATATCAAAGTGCTTTAATTACCCTTGTTATGGTGTTGGCGCTGCTAGCATAGGGACTTAAAAATACAGAGTGGATTAACATTTGGTGTTGTAGCATTTTATCAGACAGCGACCCCCCTCAAACCCCTTGTCAATTGGCAGTCCCCAAAAAGTATGGACTTGTATGAACCGGTGCACGGAGGAAAAATGATTGGAGACCACAAATTTCTTTTGAATAGAAAATAAAAATAATTAACAAATAAGCGGCCCTGCACACTTTTTGCTTTGCAATCATAAACAGCAGCAACCAAAAGTAATTTTCACACATGCAAGGCCCCCAAGAAAATTGGATTCTCCCACTTGGAGTTTTCCTGTTCAGCCCAAATCAGTAGATGGGCTTGTAAATAATGGCAGTATCCCAACGGGTTTGGTTTGTGTTCTGTAAAAATTCCCCAAACAGTACCAAGTGTCACAAGAAATAATGCGACATCATTCTCCTCTAATTGGTCACAGAACCATAAACTGGGTGACATCAAGATTATGAAGACACAGTCTTCATTGTGGTGTTCAAATCTTGTTTGACTACATTTTTAGCACAGCGATTGCATCGACAGTCTAAGCATACCTGTATGTTTACGCAACGCGCAAGTGTACATGGAACACAGCAAGGGTCAAACTGTGAATTAGTGTTGTCAGGATAGTTTTTTTTTTTAACTTCAATACTATACTTGGCCTGCAATTGTTGCATCATAAAAAAAATCCCTTTTTAAAGGGTTAATCTCTCTAAAAATAGTACATTGATGCTATACTGTATTTGAGTGCAGATTCTGATAGACAGGGCTGGAACAAAGATACAGAAATTCCAGGTCTGTACCTTCCACAATAAACAGATGAGGGCCTCCAAATATGGTCCAAAATTTAGTGTGCAATTTCTGGATCCCAAAACTGCAAAGTGCCACCCAAATTTAAGGGCCATAACACATTTGAGTTAAACAAAATAATTGACCCGTTCTGTCAGCCACTGCTTTTTGCAAACAAAACCGGCATTGCAGTAAAACATTTCAGTCAGTGTCAATCTTTACATAATACAAAACTAGACAAATATTTTCTCACCGAGCAATGAATTGATACAATAATTAACGTGACAGGCCTCATCACGTCCTCAAACATGTCAGTCAGTCGGCCTAGAATGCGAACCAGACAACCATTTTGGTGCACTCTGAATAACCAAACAGCACATTTTAACAACACTCTGAGTTTCCAAACGGTCAAAATGAAGCAGTGTGTCCTTTTAGCATATTTCCAAATGCGCCCTGAATACTACATAGTTCTCAGTGTTGCACGTTTTCAGTGGTTATCTTCAAACATCCATATTGTATTTGGTAACAAATTTCTGAATTAACTTTACACAATCTGTAATGTCGAATGTTACAAAAATAATCACAGGAATCAATACTAATAATTTAATTTGCCACGTCCAACTCAAAGCGGGAATGTTTTTTTCTTCTTTTAAAATGTTGCACTGCTTGACATATAGATATGAACATAGGTAGATACTGTACAACTTCCCTTTTGAGCTGCATGCCTACAATGGCGCTAAAGTAGTAGGGGCATTCCGTGTGGACGGTAAGGAAACTGAAAGAACTAGGATGCTGGACGCTTTGTTTCTTGCTATACCTGTAATACTAAAATTGGCACATTGTCTTCACATTTAAAACCACTGGCATATTGAAAGTATTTTGGTTATCAATCCCAATTTTAAAATGACTGTACAAATACTGTATTTCAACAAACAGATTTTCCTGGCCTTGAATTTCACAACTAGTTGTTCATCAATTTGCTGAACTGGATAAACTGTGTAGAAAATAGATTTATACGTAAATGTATTTGGATTTACAGTCACAATGACCCTTACAAGGAAACCCGAACAATGATGTGGCCCACAGCAATAATGAGTTTGAACACCTCGATGTTGTCAAACAAACCCGATTTTGTAAACCTGAATTAAAGGAAACAGGACAAGAAAAATATCCTCTAATCTCTAATCATACAAAGCAGAGTTCGCACAGAAGTCATGCCTGATGTTACATAAGACAGTCGCACGTTATAAAACTTCACTTTAGCGAGAACCATTCATGCAAACTACCGAAATACTGCTTATCAACACAATAGAGTGAGAGATTATTTTCATCAACTGGGTCAATAAGATTAAGATTAAGATATCCTTTATTTGTCCCACACTGGGGAAATTTACAGTCTACAGCAGCAAGATTGTGGGTAGAAAGAAGAAAAACAAAGTGTTTGCATTCACAAAATAAATGTTACAGTTTCAATGTACACTGTTCAATTAAGTGCAATATATATATAAGGTGGCTGTGCTACTTACAATTGTTTTTCACATCATTTTATTTTTATTCAGCAGGCTGACAGCAGTCGGTAGGAAGGAGCAGCGGTATCTCTTCTTCTTGCAGCGCGGGTGTAACAGTCTCTGGCTGAAGGAGCTACTTAGTGCTGTCAGGGCGGGCTGGAGGGGGTGGGAGGGACTGTCCATCATAGCTTTTAGTTTAACTAGCATTCTCCTGTTGCCCACCTCCTTCAGAGTGTCTGGGGAGCAGCCCAGGACAGAACTGGCCCTCCTGACCAGTCGCTCCAGTCTCTTTCTGTCCCGGGCCGAGACAATACTTTAACAGACTGTGTCAATTTCCACTATGTTAACAAGGGTCAAAAAGTTTCCTTCTCATTTTTTTCCGAACAGAAGCCTTGAGGTTTTGTGCCAAAAAGCATCAGAATTTGTCAATTTGTGATTCCCCCAACCTTGACTGAAATCCCTGATCCAGCTGAGGAAACATCCTCAAAGCCGGGCGCTGCCACCAAAATGCTACTCTGCGAATTTGGTGGGGTGGATTTTATGTCCTTGAGTTGTTGGGCATATACTGTTTGGAGCTGACCAGACAATTTCACCTTGTTTTCAACAGCCCATAAAATATTCACCTCCACTTCATATAGTTGGTACGACAATACACAACTTGAAGACTGTTAGTCTTGAAGACAGTAATATCATTCTACGAGGTCAGTTCGAACTACTTGAGAAAGTAAACCAGAAAACTGTTTTACAAATATCTCCAACATTGCCACAAACAACATCCCCAGGTTGCTGAGAAAACTGGGGCAGTCGAGGAAACTTAAGTATTAATGCCAAGTAACACAAAAAGAGAGCTTGTCTTTGTTTCAAGTGAAGTGATAAGGCACCATCCAACCTCACTCACTACAGCCAGAGAAAAGATGGCGTCTATACCAGTTTGGCCTGGCAGATAAACACTGAATTTATCCACAAGCTATCTATGATTAGTTAGGTAGCTAACTAATGTGTGCATCTGAATATCTAGCTAGCTAGCTAGCTCGCGACTAGCTAGCTAGCTAGATATTCAGATGCACACATTTTTAAATAAATAAGTACAAATTAAAGTTCTCAACGCTACATCTTAAAATTCCTTTTGAGTGACAATTAAAAATATGCCACCGATGCAGGACGGGAAGTCTGGATGCCGCCACGTCATTTAAAAATGGCACATTCTTCGCATCTTGTTTGGTGTGCACGTCACCTCAGAAATTCAAAGAATGATTCTCACAAACCGGTTCCCTAATAGCTGTCCGAAACTTCCTCAGTCTTTTTGAGTCATTCATATAACACAATGAAAAACTTTCAAGGAACATTTACATCAATCATTTAATGACAACTTTTAATTGGGCCTATTTAGGAAAACGGACGGCCTATAGTTGCAATGACAACATGCATGGGGGGGTTACAAACATACATTCATGGGTATAAAAATGCTATCCTGCAACTGTAATTGTGCCATTAGATTGCTTACCGAAAAGGACGAATAAAACACCACTGATGAGACTGTCGATGGTGACATTAACAAAGAAACACCTGAAACACAGCGCGAAAGAAAATAATCAGAATCACGCACACACGCGCACACATACACAAGTGAATCGTGAAGACGAGGTAGGGTATGGCACTGGAAAGTTTGAATTGGCACTTTGAGTCACCAGCTAATGAAAGCAGCAACGTGGTTGGATTCCTGACCAAAATGATCAATCATCTCTAAAATGGCTGAAAACTCCGTGACACTTATTTACCTGAAAAGCGGCTGTTGGCTGAAGCAATTTCACCTGCAACAAGAGCGGAGCTGTTTGAGACGGTGCCGTGAAGGAATATTGGATTGCAGTTTACTAGCACGTGCAAAAGCAGACAGGTGCACCATGGGATCAAAAGAAGGGGAAAAAAGAAAAAAAAAGTGATTCCGGGACTTAGAATTCTGTCTTCTAAGACGACAATACAAACGCCTACAAATAAATATAATAAATAGCTAATTATTTATTTATTTAGACAAATTACCACACGATCAAATGTCTCGACATTAATTGGTCATTTTGAATATTTCTTATAGGTCACGTCCATGCACATATTTTAAATAGATGCATTAACATAGACTGTGCAATTTGACTTTTTGTATGGTTTATGTAGTTTTGTCCACATTAAGCTTTTATGATTTACAGATATTTTGACATTTTTTTATAATTTTATTTTTTGTTTGGTTTGTCCTCATGAAGCTGTTATGACTTGTAGCCATTTTGATATACTATGTGTATATATATATATATATA